TTCTCAGAAAAATCCCTTTGCTTCAAAGGCCCCTTGATAGCCATAAAGAAAAAGCCAGGGCTGAATCTCTTTGATATTTGGGAAGGCAAGAGTTTATGAGCTGCTGGCCCCCAGGCTTCTTTCAGGGGTGAGGGGATTCTGGAAGCTTCTCCTGAGCTGGTACACGGCAAGGGGAGCCACAGGCTTTATACTGGGAAGAGAGCCCTGATGGTAAGGACACAAGTGTTATTCTCTTGAGCATTTATACGAGCAATTTCTCTCAGACTTATTAACACCCTGAGACCTAAAAAAGAGACTTCTATTGCCTGCATTTATTGCTTCAGGAGTCTGAGAGACAGAGAAGTCAAGCCACTTGCTTGAGGACTTACAGCAAAGTCAGTCAAAGGATGGATGAGTTTGTCTGTGGGTTTGGGTTGCTTTGTGTTGGTAACTGCCTAATGTAATGTCCTAATGGCTGAGGTGGGGGGATGCTCACACTCTCAGGCCTTGTCCCATCATCATGTGACCGGTACCCAGATGGGCACTTCCTCGGAGGCACCAAAGGCAGGAGGAACTTGTGGAGGGGAGAGGAGATGCTGGGACAGTAGTGACCACCAGGTAGAGCAACAGTTCTTGCCTCTGATGTCTGCCCCCAAGAGCTGGACATGCCAATCAAGGCACTCCAAGAGGAAAATGGGGCAGTCTGTGATTGCACTGAGAACCTGAAGCAGATGCAGTCAACTCTGCTGAACCCTCTCTTTCCCCCAAAACACCTTAAAAACAAGCCCCGCGTCTGCTCAGCGCTTTCCAATTTACCAAGTGTTTTCATAACATTATCTCATTTCATTCTCACTTCAACCCACACACATTCTTGCCTTTCAGATTTCTTACGTACTCAAATGAGTTTCACTGAAAAATTGGCTAGAAACTTCCCTTCTCCTACTCACTTTTTTTTTTTTTTTAAACCCCAAGCCTTTGACTGATATCTTCAAGAAGCTCCCAGATTCCCAGGGTGAGAAATTTGTTTATTCTGCCAGCCCTGCCCTGCCGGTTGGATACCAGTGGTCCTGGGCTTTGCTATTGGAACCAACACTTTTGTATTCAGTTCGTAGTTGAGCTGTTAAAACAAACCAAACCACAAAGGCATGATAAGTGGGGAAAACATAGGCTTTGGAACCAGCAAGCCCCTGAGTCACATTTTGGTTCAACCATTTGAGAACCACATGGCCAAGTTACTTAACTTCTCAGAGTCTCTGTTTCTTCATCCGTAAAGTGGAGCAATAGTACGTAGGTCTAAGGTTGTTGTGAGACATAAATGTGGCAAGAGTTATGAATGTACTTTAGCAAATGTTTCTTTCTTTCTCCTACTTTCTTCCCCAAGGTCAAACGGCTATGACGTAAAGTCCCTCATGGTTAACCAAAGTACCAGCTTCACTACTCTGAGGCAGATTAAACACAGTACTGCCTTTTTGCAAGCCACAGGGAGAGAAAATGTGGGAATGTGTTGCTAAATGAATTTAGATGGAAACTTTTTTTTTTTTTTTGAGAGGGTCTTGCTCTGTCGCCCAGGCTGGAGTGCAGTGGCATGACCATAGTTCATACAATCTCAAATTCCTGGGCTCAAGCAATCCTCCTGCCTTAGCCTCCTGAGTAGCTAGGAGTACAGGCATGCACCACCATGCCCAGCTAAATTTTAAATTTTTTTGTTTTAGACATGGGGTCTCGCTATGTTGTCCAGACTGGTCTTCAACTCCTAGCCTCAAGCAATCCTCTGGCCTTGGCCTCCCAAAGTGCTGGGATTACAGACATGAGCCACCATGCCTGGCCATTTTTTTTTCAAACTAGATGAATAATTAGCTACATGTCCCGCACATATGGTACAGTTGCAATTGAGGTAACTCTAATAAGATTTTAAGTTCACTGCCTTTATTCCTTTTTTAATTTTTATTTTAGGAAGGAGCTGGGAAACTGGACTTATGTAATGTTGAAGAGCAAGGCAATTGTGATACATGTGGATTTTTATTGAAGCAGAATTGTAATTAGTCCCTTAGTCTCTAAGGACTAATTGCAACAAAGGAGAAGGGAGGGAGCGCAGAGGGCTCTGATTGTGTGTTTAGTTCACTGATCTGCATATAGTAGATTCTCAATAAATGTTGGTGATGGACTGAGGCATTTTAGAGAGCTCAGATCTTGGGTTTGACCTTTGCTGCTGACTTCTTGGCAAATGCAATGCAAGACGTAGTGTTATAGTGGAAAGAACATTTGACTAGCAGTCTGAAACCTGCATTCAGGTTCCATCTACACCACTTAATAGCCTGGCGTCCTTGGACATGCCATTTAATCTCTTAAGTGTCTTCTCACTGTAAAATGAGGAGACTGGAATAGGTGATTTGGAAGGTCTCTTTCAGTTCTAAGGTTCTGGGGCTCTAAGTAACTTCATTTGTTTGTGTTTCTGTTTCTTCATTTATTCAAAGGCAGTAGGGATAGAAACCTATCTCATAGGCTATTGGGAAGAAATGATCAGTGTGCATGTTAAAATACCTTGTCTCTTTAGAGACAGGAAGGAAATGCAGTGACCCAGAGCAATGTAACAGAGTGGGAAGCTGAGTATGCCTGCAACCTCTGAATTCCAGGCCCAGCCCAACCACTTTCTAGCTGTGTGATCCTTGGCAAGTCCTCTAATTTATTTTAGCCTCAGTTTGCATATCTGTAAACTGGGGAATGTAAGCTGTGCTATGTTAATCTTATCACATTCTTTTGAAAGCCACGATAGTGAAATGCTTTGAAAAACTACAAGACACTATATAAAGCAGTGTTATTGAGAAACGGCATACTAGTTATGGTTGTATTGAAGTTTAGCACCATGTCTCCCATAATTTCAAAGGAATGAATGTGTCACCACGGTCCCAGAGGAGAGACAGAAACTATAGATTTGGGATCACAACCCAAGGCTTATTTTCTACTTTAACTTACTGACTGAAGTGAAATTTTGTTAAAATGGGCATTAAAACAAAGTTTCCCAAAGAGTAGACATGAGATAATTACGTCAATGTTCTCCAATGCAGGGAATTTTTCCAGAGGCCAGATAGCTGCTGGTGGAGGCCTTATTCCCCACACTCTTCTCCAAAATGAGGCCATTTTGACACTTAAGGTGTGTGTGATGGGGGAGGCAATCGCTTTCTGAGTTTGGAAAGTTTCACATGTGTAATAATCATAAATATGTAAAGTGTGTCTGTTACCATAAAAGTGGTATGACAGTCTTTCATCCCAGGCCTTGCCAGGGATTGCTACGAGGGAGAAATGGCAGAAGGCTCCTTCCCGCTCGCCCCAAGGCCTAGCCCAGACACTCTCCTCTGAGTGCCTGGAAACCAGCTCTCCAAGCATTGGCTTCTTCTTTGGAGACCTAGATGACAATGTGTCACACCCAGCCAGCACACCAACAGCCCCTCTGTTAGCAGCCACTTCACACCTGGACCGTCTCCTGTTAGCACCTGTCCATGAAAGCATGGCCCTCTGTCAGGACATCACCCCAGAGAAGCAGAATGGAGGTGATACTTTGCAGCCCAAATCCATTTCTGATTTAGCTTGGGGGGTGGGGAGAGAGACTCCTGAATTTCTCTGGTTGGAGGGAGCAGTTAGGAGCTTGTCATGAGCTGTGTTTTCATAGGAAGCACACTATTTTTACTCAGGTTGTATATATGAATGATTGAAAATAGCAAAGATATTTTTAATTAAATTGTTCTTGTCAATTCCTATTATTTTTATTTGGGTTGGTTTTTGGGGGAGGGATGATGAAGTTATAAGGGCCCCCTCTCCCAACCTCCTCACAGTCCTGTCCCTGCTAAACTCTCACCATTAATCCCATCCTTTTATGTCAGATAAGTTTATGTATTCACATTTCCATTTTAAGCACATATATTAATACATGGATTCAATACATTCACTACCTTTCTTTCAAAGAGCTGACTTCAAAGCAGATTTAATTTTGCTTATTTTTTGATACCCCTCACCCCCTTTCTCCAGCCCCTGTACACACATAGGTTAGGGTTATAAAGCCATTTTCCAGGCGTAATTGAAGCAGAGGCCACAGAGGGGCAGCGCTGGGTCCCAGGTCAGACTTGCACCGTCCTGGCTCGGGGGCAGCGCGGCTGGACCACCTGGACAGCCCCCCCCCCAAACAGCTGCAATTCTTGGGCAGTGTGGGAGGCGTTCAGCTGAAGCTCTTTGTTTCTCCTGTCATAGAGCGACCTCCCTCGGAGCAGCCCTGGGAGCCGAGGCCGGAGGGGGTGTGCTTGCGCACCGCCCACCCGCACCCCCAGCCCCGCCGCCGACCGTGTGCGTCCGTGTCCAGTGGAAAAACCCTGGGTCGACACCACATCCTTTCTCCCACAAATAAAACGCTCCACGGATCTCAGGGCTGCAGACGAGCCCCTCGCAAGCCACCCCCTCCCCGCGGGCACTCGGTCCTCCAGCTCCGCGTTCCCCCGCCACCTTCCCACCGCGTTTTAGCGGCGCTCGCGTCTCCGCACAGCCGGCAGAGACGCAAGGGACGCGCCTCTGCGGTGCCGCGGGCCAGGATTCCAGGGAGAGCCCTATTTTGGGGGGATGAGCGCCGAAGAGGGGTCCCGAAGTGTGGGCTGGGGCGGTCAGTGGGGGCAAGAAAGGGCGCTGGCGCCAGGCGGTCAGGGTGGCGCCCTCCCCCGGCTCAGCGCGGCAGCCGAGCGATCCCGTCCGGCGCGGGCCCCCGCGCCCCCCTCACGCCCACCTCCGCGCTCCCGGAACCCCCCGCCGTGCGCTGGCGGGGGCTGCGGGCGCGGGCGGGCTTGCGGGCGGGAAGCGGCGCTGACTACGAGCTCCAGCCCGGTGCGTGCGCCCGTGCGTGCGAGCCGCGGGCCGGGAGCCGCAGCGAGCCCAAGCCCTCGGGAGCGGAGCCCAGCGCCCCCGAGCCGCCGCCCGCACTAGCTGCGAGCGCTGAAGCCATTCATGATTTTGGTGACGTTATTCCAGGAGTGGGCGAGGGAGGGCGGGGCCTCTCGGGGCCAAGCCCCGCCCCCTCCCCTATAAATACGGCTTCCCGGTCTCTTTGTGGGGCCAGGAGCTCGGTGGAGAGCTGGGAGCTCCGGCTGCTTTGCCGACGTCGCTGGCCGCGGGGCTGTCCCGGGAAGGCGGACGGCGAGCGCCCGTGTGCGCCCGTGTCATCCTCGCTCGGGACGCAGGGACCGTTTTTAAATCACAAGGGCGTGGGTCAGCCTCCCTAGGACTTCATGTCTGTATATTTCCCCATTCACTGGTGAGTACCCCGTGTCCGCGGCTGTCGGCCGTCTCGCTGCCGTGGCTGTGGGGCCCGGGCGCCGCCTCTTGCCGGCTCGGGTGCGAGGACAGCCGGCGTCTCTGACGCCCGGCGCTAACCCGCTGCCCGAGCCCGTGCGGGAGTCAACGTCAAGGTTGCAAAGGTGGGGGTGGGGGGAGGTGGTGCTGAGAGCATCCAGACAAAGGAAGTGAACTCGGAGCCCTCACTTAAGTGACGAATGGAGGGCTTGTATGGGGGTTGGAGGAGCCAGGGGTCACGCCTGAATCCCCCCAGTGACACCCCCTATGTGGAGGGCTGCAGGAGGCGCGCGCCCTGCCTGGCGCAGGGGTCTCTTGCTCTCCCCGGCCCCTCCCCTTTTTCTTTTTGTTTGCATGCAAGTCTCGGTGTCCAGGCCGGCTGCAGCGGGGGTGAGCTGGTGCAGCCGCGGCGTTTGCAGAGCTCCGGGGGGTGGAGGAAACACTCTCTCCCCACACATAACACAACCGAAGCCACAAGCAGCAGGGCGCACGCTGCATCCTCTCGACCCCTGACCTCTCCACAGCCCCTACAGACCGACGCACCTTGGTGGGGTCCGGGGCTGGGAGGAGCCGCCCAGCAGTGCCGAGCTGGATGGAGCCGGGCAGGGCGAGGGGCGGCGGAGATTTGCCCCCGGCGGCGGATCCGGGCCGGGAGGGATGCGGAGAGAGCCCTCTGGCTGCTGGGACTTGCTCTTCTTCCTGTGCTGGGTTAGAGGAGGAGCGGCCTTGAGCGGGCAGAGAGCGCTGGCGGCCCCAGAGCGCGCTCTCAGGTGTGGATGTGAGGAGCTCGGCCCCGGGTCGGGGACTGGCGCCCGGCGAGGGAACAGCAGGGCTCAAGCCTTGGCACCGTCCTGCCTGGCCCAGGAACCGGAAAGTTCATGCTTCTCGCTTCAACTTTTCGGCCAGAGCCACAGCCCGAGCGAGGATAGAGGGAAGAGCCTGGAGAGAGCCTTGTAGGCAACCTCTGTTTTGTTTTTTTCTAGTTCTGTCATTTAAAAGAAAATTCAGGGTCGCTCTGTGCATTTCTTTGGGAGTCTGGCGGCAGCCTTTCCATGACCTGGGAAGAAATGCCTTAAGAGGTCCCGGCTCTTGAATCTAAACGTGCCCTGAAGTCCAGCATCTTCTCTTAGTCTCCCCTCCCCCATCTCAGCTTGGCTCTGTTTGGAGAGGGGACTGAACTTGCAGAACAAAAATTCCTCCACACCTAAGACTTGTGTACCCCTCTCCTTCTGGGTGCCCTACCCTTCCTCCCCTGTGGTGTGTGAGCAGCCAGATGCCTTATGGCTGAGGCTCTTGGAGGCTTTTTGCCTCTGGCTGCTCAAAATTTGCCAAGATGGGTGTTAGGGTCCATCAGGAATATTATGAGAAATTACAGTTTAAGGTTATTGTATTGATTAACACTTCACAGTTTGCAACACTTTTTTGCAGACATTAGCCCTTATCCTAACTATGATATATGCATTATTAGCATCATAGTAACAGACAAACAGGGCACTTGTGGCTCAGAGAGGTTGCAGGACTTGTTCAAGATCACACAGCTGGTGAGTGGCAGAGCAGAGACCAGAACTTATTGCTTCTCTTTCCAACTCCAGTGTCATATCTTAACTATGTAGCAACCATAAAATGAAGAAGAGTCCTTCACCCCTGTTTTATTAGATATAGTCCCTGGAAAGCCTGTCCCACCCTTTTCTTCCCCTCTTTTTAAACCACGTGCACAGGCACGATGGTGGGGATATTGGGTGTTGTGTAGTGGGTGCCTAGATTTGGTATGTGTATTTGGCATCGTGTTCACGGGATCTTGTGTTTGCCCATAGCTTGTGCAAGGATAATGGAACATTTGTATCCTGCTTAGAGAGTACAAAGCACTTTCACATGTCAGCCATTGGTGGGCCAGCTTGGCCCCTCTGGAAATTTCCTTTGCAATCAGAGTCCGGTATCCTTAAGGCTTTTAATCCAAGGGATGTTTTTCAAGCTGTGAGTTTGCAGCTGCTGTGGCTGGGGCTAGAGAAGGGGCTTGGCTGACAGATGTGAAACTTGCAGCAGAGCTGACCCCCTGGGGCTTTAAGTGGGGCATTTTGCCAAAAGGAGCACCAGAGAGGCAGAGAGATTTAGGAAAGCAGCATGATTGGACTTTGTTTCCCTGAGGTTGACCTGTTATTGTTATTATGTAATAATAGCATGCAGTTCCCCTTTGGAAAACTTGTGTAGGATTATTTTTATTCTTAGTTGGAGGGGTGAAGGGAGCCATGGTTGAATTGGTTTTAATATAGGCAGAGGGACTCTGCAACCTACTGTTTTGGTTTTTTCTAGTTCTGTCATTTAAAAGAAAATTCAGGGTCACCCTGTGCCAGTGGGGAGTAGTGTACAAGAAAGAAGGGAAGAGGTTTGCTAGGGAGGTGCAGACAATGGGCTTTGTTGGTTAGGGTTTAGAGCCCTGGTGCTGTGGGCTTGCAAAGCACTTCCTCAGGGTGTGAGCTTGTTTTTCTGCAAGTTCTGTTTTGAACACGGTTCATCCTGTCTCCAGACAGTCCCCTGATCCCACGGCTGTGAATGCATGGAGAGCAGGAATGTGAAAGTGCATGTTTGTTGACTTTTGGTCTGGGTTTCTTGGCAGCCCCGACTATCTGAGATCAGCCGAGATGACTGAGGTGATGATGAGCACCCCATCCATGGAGGAGATTGGCCTCAATCCCCGAAAGGACGGCCTTTCCTATCAGGTGAGTTAAGTACTGGCTTCTCCCAGATTCCTCAGAGCCTGGTGGCTCTTGCTGGGCCTGGAGACAGATGTGGTTTTGCAGCCCACTGCCACTTGTAAGAGCTGTGTGACCTTGGCAAAGTCCCCTAATGCCAGTGAGCCTCAGTTTCTTCATCCGTAAACTGGGGCAACAGCAGTCCTTACCTGATAGGATTGTGAAGATTCAACATAGTGAGAGGATGCGTATAACGCATTCCTAGTGCCTGGGACACAGAGGAGTCAGCAAGCATTAGCCATTGTTACTAATTAGTCATCCTGGCTCTGTGTACTCTCCCATTCACAACAGCAAAAGAGGAAGTGACTTGTGCAGTCAATTCAGACCAGAACTTCCCTTCCCAACCATGCCTTGGGCATAGTGGCATTGCAGTGAGGGGTGGCTTCTGGGGAAGAGTGTTCTGGTGGGGGATAGCTGTGTCCAACACTGTGTCGTTCTCGGGTTGACAATTGATCTGCTGATTCAGAGTTAACGTTCAAACTACTTAGAGTGGATGAGACGTTTCTCTTAGGGAAGCTATCTCAGGGATGCTACTGCTGGGATCTAGCTTAGAGATCATCATGTCGCTGGATCCAAAATGCATAAGGACCGCAAAAAAGGACCAGAGTAACCCCTCCAGACTCTCATCCCAGCCTTCTTTCTGGCCCGCCTTGCTGTTTTCCCACTGCCCCTGGGCAGGTGACAGGAGCGTGACAGATCACCTTCGGTTACCTGTGGGGCAGAGAGCTGGTTTGGGATTTGTCAGGAGAGTGCCTAGGTTGTTGAATTATGGGGAGGAAGGAGTCTGCTTTCAAGGGAAGACCTTGGGGTTAGGGTTAGGGTTAAGGTTAAAGTTGTGTAGGGTGGCTGGCCCAGGGAAGGCAAATGGGGTGTGGTGAGTCCATGCAACAGACATGAAGTGTGTGCCTGCTGCGGGCCAAGCCATTTACGGATGTCACCTTGCCCGCTCTCTGCCAGGTGGCAATGCTCACCCTGCCTCAGCTGAGGGAACCCCAGAGCCTTGTTCTTCTGATGTATCGTCTGTCTGCACTGTGGGTTGGTTCTGACTAGAGTCTGGACTTACTCTGGCTGGTCAGTCCTCAGAACTGTTCCAGGGGCCTTTATTTTGTAAAGAGAGAAACAAATAGAAAGCCAAGGTGGGTGTGATGGGGGGAGAAGGACCAAAGAGAGCCAAGATGGAAGCTAAGATTGGGGGACATAAGTTCAGACACGCTTGGGAGGTCCAAGGAGGCCCCTTTGTTTTGTGTCAATATAGTCAGCCCCTTTTGCTGACTGGAAATAAATGTGACATTAGCCTGAGGGGGGTCTGGGGTTGAGGGGGAACAGTCTTTCCTGGGTTGGTTTTATGCCCTCTCCCCCAGAGCGGGTCTGAGGAAGATAGTTGAGGGCCTCACAGCCTGGTGGGAGGTATAGAAGTTTCCTGGCCCACCAGCTGGGGTGGTTTTGAATACCAGTTTCCAAGCCACTGAGTCAGACTGAATGTCTTCGTGGTTACAGGTGAGGTTTTCTTTCAGTTCTGGGTTTTAGATTTCCATCACAGAACCTTTCCAAACTCAGTCGTCGTTCCGTCTTCTGTGTGCTTTGTGTATTCTCTTTTTACACACATCTCAGGATAAAGGGCCAGACCCCAAAGGGCAGTTTTCTCAACCCTTTGAGTCCTTCAGGCCACTCTGCTGGGCCTGAGAATTGGGGCGAGTGGGAGGCAGGCAGGGGCTGCCACGCCATGGGGAAGGCTGAGTTGGCAGGAGGAGAATGAAATCTCCTCTGGGCTCCAGAGGTAGCTCAGTGCTGCCTGAGGAAAGGATCCTCCAATCTCCCCTTGCGGGGCTGGACTGAGGGTCCAGTTCTCGGAGCCCCTCAGGAAATCTGTCACCGATACCTAGGTGGGGACTACTGCCCAGTTCCAAAGTGTCTTTCCTGGAACTTCAAAGCATTCTTGTCACTACCTTTCACAATTTTTCTGACCTCAGACAGGTCTCTCGGTTGCCTGATGAAGAGAAAGGGGAGAGGTTGTGAAGAGAAAGGGGAGAGGTTGGAGCATTTAAGCAAGCCACATTTGTTGGGCACTTTCTGTGTGCAACGTGCTGTGCTGGTCCAGGGCTGTGTGAGAAACCAGCATGTACATAAACATCTGGAACACAGGCAGTGTGGTCAGTCCAGGTTTGGGCGATACAGAAGCTGTGGTCAATCAGGTATTGGCAGCAACGATGACATCTGCCCGACAGAATCTGAGAAGGGCTTGGAAGGGGGAGATCAGACTGGAGCAGGGCTTTGAAAGAAAATTAGGACTTAGAGAGGGGAGCTCCATCTGTAAGGTAATTTTTGTTGCACCTTCGGATACCCCTGGCTCTCCCCTGTTTACGCCAGGTGTGGGGCCCTGCAGCGAGTAGGTCTGATGACTGTCCTGTGACGCATAGTCTCAGGGCCCACTCAGAGCTAGTGCCATCCCACGAAACACGGTCCCACCACAGCTCTGGGGATTGGCGGGGACTGGCACTTGGCCGGAGCCCGTCCGCTGTGCACGCTCAGGCTCGGCTCAGAGCTGGGGGCGGGGGATCTCTGAGCTCTGTTCTTGGCGTTCCTCCTGAGGATAATAATAGTACGCGGCTTTTACCAAGACCTGCTTTTCTAAGGACCTGAGAGTGGGAAGGAGACATCAATCCAGACTTGGCAGATGAAATAGAATCTCAGGCTTGTGATTTGACCTTGAAACAGTCATCAAATAAGTGGCACGTTGGACTTTGTCAGTCACTCCCCCGCTTTCCAGACGTACTGAGAATGAAGCTTTCCTGATTTGTCTGTACCAGATGTGACCTTTCTTTCAACGCCTGTGGCATTTTGTACTTTCCAGTGATGCTGCGCTGGGCTTCGAGGATACGGGTCCTGCTTTGCCTTCTCGCTCAGATCCTTGAGGGCAGGGCAGGACTTGCTATGTCTTTGTACCCCTGCCCAATCCAAGGTGCCTCCATGCTCAGCGCCTTCGTGGGGCAGCTGCTAAGTGAACGATGGTTGTTCCCCTTGAGCTGAGTCTCCTGACTCTAGAGCTGCCACCTTCCCTTCTGCCTTGGCCTCTGTAAAGGGCCTGCTCGGGCCCTGCCTGTCAAGGCTTCAGAGAGATGCCCTTTTTAGCCCCTGACAGATTCAGGTAAACCCTATTGTCCTGGGGCAGTTAGTGCCATTTTGTGAGCATGTATAAAAATCGACTGAACTGGTGCCTTGTTTTATGTTAACATTCATTTGGAGAGTTAGCCATCCAGTAAGTGAAATCCATGTCTGCACATTCACTTGATGTGAATTGTGACACCCCATGGGGTGGGTGAGTAAATGATTACTAGAAAGTCTGAGTACATTTGGGCGGGCTGTGGGTGGCAGCCAGCTCACCAGCTGAATGGGAGGGTCTCCAGGAGAACATGTTTGTCCCCAGCTCCCTACCACACTGTGTCCCTGGGCCTCTCAGCATCCAGCCTGCAGGACAGGAACATCTGCCTGATGCTCTCATCCTCTCTCTAGTTCAGGGAAGCGTGTCAGTGGCTGCCTGGTGGAGCCTGCTCCTTCCTTGGCCCCAGGGACTCTGAGAATGCGGTATTTGTGATACCTCTCGCACTGGGTCTCCTTCCACGCTGTGCCCAAGTTGGCCTGGGCTCATCTGAAGGAGGGTCCTGGGAGGTTGCCTGTGAGCACTGACGCCTCCACAGCCCAAGGGCACCGGGATCCTGACCTTGCTGCCTGATGTCCCCCAGCACAGCGCTGAGGCTTCTGCAGTTTCATTGCTGAGGTCTAGATATAGATGTGGCTCCTTGGTTTTCATTTAGAACTGTCCCTTCCAAAGCATCTGGACCGAGACCTGATCACTTTATCCTTCCCTAGGCTCTTTAAATTCCCCTCTAATCAGCACGTGTCCCCTCCTGGCTGCCCTTTGTGTATCATTCTTGGTCATGTACTCTTGCCATCTGACATCCACCTGTCAGTCAGGCAAGCCTCGGCCTCTCAGGGAAGCGAGGGAGGATGCGCCGTGGCCCGAAGGAGTGATTTCTTCACACACGTGGGCCCCTGTGCCCTGTGCGTCCCCTTTGCTTTGCAGAGCCGAGAGCTCCCTGCAGCTGCCCCTCTGTTCCCCAGGACAGGTGGGAGGGGTATCCTAGCACCTTAGGAGGTGGGTGGCTGACCTTTCTGGCCTTGGCCCTAGTATTCCCTCATGCAGCTCTGCACTGAGGTGGGGTCTGAAGGGCCGGTGGGACCGAGGACAGCCTCTCCAGGGACAGGATCTCCTGCCCTTTTATCTCTCAGGCCCCACAACAGACCAGCGAACTCCTTCTTCCCCCTCCTCCCCACTGTTTAGCAGCAGCAGCAGCTCCTCTCTCAAAGAATGGGCTCGGTTTGATCCCTAAGGCAGGCGCAGCTCAGAAATACTTTCTCTTTGCTCACGTCCACGCTAAGCCTCTTGTGATGAAGGCCTCCCGAGCCTGGCCTCGCCCTGCCTCTGCCTGCATGGAACGCATGTGAAGTCGGTGTCAGGTTGTGGTTCCTGCCCAGTGTTGCGCCTCCACCGCCCCCTGACCCCCACCCCTGCTCACGAGGCCATTCTGGGCATCGCATATCCATGACATTTGACATTTGTCCTCTGCTCCTCACTACCCTGTCTCATCAGTCACCCCCAGTCGTAGTACCCCACATGTCCTCAAGAGTTTGGGAGGTCCTGCTCAGCAGCTGCACGCAAGTCCCATGGTCACCAGGAAACCATCTCTCAGGACATCAGCCTTAAAAGGCCTCCAGTGTCCCTGGAGAGACGTAAGAGCTGAATTCCAAAACACTTGGCAGGAGATGTCCAGCCATGGACACAACATGTTTCTGGAATTGCAGCAAGTTTTCTCTCTGCTGCCTCTACTCCCTCTCTGGACCCCCCTTGGTAGGAATCATAATACTGGGATATAACACAGGCAGCCAGGGCCGCCTGTTTCAGAAGCAGA